TTCCCCCACTCCCCCAGCCCCCTCCATGGCTGCCCCACCCACCGCAACTCCAGTCCTTTACGGAAAAAAATGGAGAAAACCCCTGGACTCATCACTCCTGCAGCAGCCTCAGGTCTCTGGGGGGCTCATGCAGAGCCCCCCCAGTGTGGTGCGGGGCAGTGGGGATTAGCGGGAATCGCCCCCTGCCAGCAGGAATGGTGAATGCGGGGTTTTTCTCATTTTTTTTTCCTAAAGGGCCAGAGCTGCAGTGGGTGGGGCAGCCATGGGGGGCTGGGAGAGCAGGGGGGGTCAGGAAGCTCATGCAGAGCCCCTCCACGCAGCAGGGGGCCATAGGGGGTAACAGGGATTGCTCCCCGTCCAGCAGCACCCACTGAGTTGGGGCTTTTTTCTTCCCCAAGTGCCAGAGCTGGGGTGGGTGGGGCAGCCATTGCCAGGCCGGGGGGGATGGGCCTGGGTTTTTCGGAGATTCGGCCAAATGGTTTCAGGACAGCGATTCAAATCACTGAATCGAATCACTGTCCCCCGAATCGGCCAAATCCAAATCCAAAGTGAATACTAACCGCTTCGCACAGGCCTACTTTCATCTCTAAGTCCATGTTCTGGTGTGCTCTCACTCTTTCCCTCCCCCCACCCTAACAATCTCACATTCATCCTCATGGCTTCAACTTCCAGGGTTACCCTTAAACTTTACATTTCCTCATCCTCACCTCTATTTTCAGCTGCAGCCCTGGCTCAGCACTCTCAATCCCAGGAAATCCATTCACTTAGGCCTTCTCTCTCTTGCTGAGTCCCTTTCTTTGACCATCACCCAGTTTTTTTTCCAGCATCACCCATATGCCCCAAACTTGCACCCTGCAGCCTTGCAAATGATCTCCACTTGAACTTCCTCACCTGCCGAGCCACACTGCAGGGTGGGGCTGTGCCAGGAGGCCCCAAGTGACCCAATGGCTGCTCCTGCTGTGGTGAGCCATGGGCTGTGCGGTGGGAATGGGGCCATGTGGGGAGGCATGTGGGCTCCAGGGGGGGACCCACCCCTCCTAGCTGCCCCCCTATGGTCCCCCGCACCCTCACAGCCCCCACTTCTATGCCTCCCCCACCCCCTACTTACCTGTAACAGATCCCAGGTCCAGGCTGCTGTAGCCTGCATCGCTGTTTGCCCTCCACAGGCAGGCAGCATGCTGCAGCATTGGGGCAAGGGGCAGGAATAGAGACACTCTGGCTGGCTACCAGAGCATCTCTTTAGTGGACCCGAGCCTCCAGTTGCCTCAGGGCACGGTCCTTGCCCCACTTTTTTTTTGGGGGG